GGGGTTGATGGGTAAAGATAGAAATGTTAAAAGGGTGGGGATATAGTTTTGGGGGGTTTGGGTGCAATTATTTAATAAATGTATGGAAGGGGTAAGGGTCCCTAGGATTGGCGAGAGAAGCATAGTTCCTTTGTATAAAGGCAAAAGGGGATAAAAAGAGTAAAAAAATTTATAGGGGGATAAGTCTGTTGAGTGTACCGGGAAAGTGTATGTGATTTTATTTTAAAAAGAATTAAGAGAAAGACGGAAGAATAGGATGCAGATGAAAAAAGGAGGCTTTGGGAAAAAGGTAGGGGGGTTGGCCCAGGTTTTACATGAAAATATAAGTGAACGTATTTGTAAGGCTAAAGAGGTTTTTGTGGCATTTATGGATTGAAAAAGGCGTATACAGGGGGGATAGGGGGGAAATGGCGATTTGAAAGTTAGGTGTAGGAGGTAGGTTACAAAAAGCAGTGAAGAGTTTTTAGGGATAGTGGGGCTCAAGTTGGATGTAGGAAAGGGGAAAATTTTTTTCCGTAAAAGTAGGCCTTAACAAGGATGTGTGTGTCACCGTGGTTGTTTAATATATTTATAGATGGGGTTTGAAAGAAAAAAAAAACGAGGGTCTTGGCAAGGGCGGGAGTTAAAAGTAAGAATCACACAAAAAGGGGAGTTGTCACAGCTGCTCTTTGCTTGACACTGTGCTTTGGGGGGAGATTTGAAGAGAAGTTGGAGTTTGGGGGATAAATTTGGTGGGTGTGAAAAAGAAAAAAAATTAAAGGTGAATACAGGAAAGAGTAAGGTTTTAAGGATAACAAAAAGTTGGTGATGAAAGATTGAATTCAGTTTGGGGGAGAGAGTATGGAGGAGGTGAACGTATTCAGAATTTGGGAGTGGACGTGTAGGGGAGGGTCTATGAAAGATGAGGTAAAATTTTAAATTTGATGAGGAAAAAAAAGTGAGGGTGCATTTGGAGTCGTGGAGAAAAAGAACTTTGTTTTTTTTGGAGGCAAAGAGGGGAATGTATGAGGTATAGTTTACCAACGCTCTTATATGGGTGTGAAGGTGGGGGGGGGAATGAATGTTGCAGCGGGGAAAAGGCGGGAGGCAGTGGAGATGTATGTCTGGGGGAATGTGTGGTGTGAATATAAGCGGGAATTTCGAGTTTGGAAGTTAGGAGGGGGGTGGGGTACCAAAACTGTTGTCCAGGGGTGGGGAGGGTTGTTGGGTGGTGGGGACATGAGAAGAATGGAGCAAACAAAATGACTTCAAGAGTGTAAAGTCTGTAGGGGAAGGAAGGGGGGGGTAGGGGTCGGCTGGGAAAGGGGTTGGGAGGGGGGGGGAAAAGGAGGTTTTGTGTGCGAGGGGCTTGGCTTCCAGCGGCATCTGAGCGGTTTGATAGGAGGAAGGGAAAAATGGTTTTTAATACTTGACGTGCTGTTGGAGTGTGAGCAAAGTAACATTTTTAAAGGGATTCGGGGAAACCCGGCGGGCCGGATTGAGTCCTGGGAGGGGAAGTACGGGCCTGCACTCTAAAGGGGGGGTTTTAATGTTGCTTTTAAAACTGTAGTGTAAAGCACACTTTGGAAGACAGTGTGGGTGAATGATGGTGAATTTTTTCTTTTTGGGCCCCCCTGCCTTGGGGGGAAGGGCCCGGTGGTTGAAAAAAAAAAAAAAATAAAAAAAACGTCTTATGACCCAGTGCTTGGGGACTTTTATATATACAAAAATTTCTATCGTTTTAAAAAGTTTTTCTCTCCCTTTTTTAGTAATTGTATACGGAGAAGGGGTCACTACCCTTTGCTCCGGCTTTTAGTCGCCTCATAAGCACGCATGGCTTACGGAGGGAAAAATTCTTTTTCCACTTTCCCCCTGGACAATAGAAAAATAAAAAAGAACAAGAGCTATTTTGAAAAAAGGGGAAAAAACCTAAGTATGTATTATATATATGCATGTGCGTGTCTGTGAAGTGTGACCCAAAATGTAAAGGGTAGCAAGATATCCCCGTTATCTTAGCGTGTTTATGAGACAGAAAAAGAACCAGCAAAACCTACCATCAGCAAAACAATTACAGGTTTTTGTTTTTCCCGTCATCTGGCAGGACGGGGAGTATTCCCTGGGTGGTTTCTGTCTACCAAAACCCATACCTCAAAGTAATTTTTTGAAGGGGATTCAGGGAAACCGGGAGGCCCGGGCTTGAGCCCGGAGATGGGAAATACAGGCCCGCACTCTGAGGAGGGGGGGTTAATGTTGCATTTAAAAACTGTAGGTAAAAACACCCTTTGGAAGAAGTGTGGATGAATGATGGGAAAGTTTTCTTTTCGGGCCACCCTGCCTTGGTGGGAATCGGCCCGGGGTGATAATAAAAAAAAAAATAATAAAATAATTCTATAATTTAATAAGCAGGAGAAAGCTGGGAGGCTCACATGTGAGGAATGGGTCTGGTGGTCAGTGTGATTGTTAAAAAAAAACCCGCAGACACAGTGCATAATGAGGAAAAAAATCCGACCATGTTTTTTGGGTTAAAAAGCCGAATTTTTAGGGGTTTTTTTCCCATAGTATTTATGATTGAATTTTCATTTTTTTTTTTCATTTGACAGAAAGGAAAAAATTTAAAAAATAGAGATGATTTTTTATTTGTTTCACAATGAAAAAAGAATTGAAAATAGCTCAAAATAGCGAAATGTTAGATTTTTACCCTGTTCAAGAGTAAGCAAATCACACCCCAACCCCAATACCCTCAACTGGGGAGTCTAAATTTCTTTTACTGTGCACTGATTTATTTATGCCCTTTTTTTCAATAATGCAGTAGTCTGCATAACATAAATCTTCTATTTTTTGTTGAGTAAAAAATAAAAACAGAATGCAAGAGTAATATAAGAGGGGCCTGAAGATGTGACTAATGAACAGAGGATATGTTATTTTAGTGCCAAGAATATCTGCATTGTTTATTCTGGACCCTATTTTGAAACTGGCATCTTTTTTAGTGTGAAATTGGCCAAATTGCCAATTTCTGACCACTTTATTGGGTAGTTGAAATTGGTAAATGAGCAGTTTCTTGTACTCAATTGATAGAAAAAATGGAGTTCTAAAGAAACAACTATGAGTTTAGTTGACTGGAACAATGGAATTGGCAGAAAATAGGGCTCAAATTTGGCAAAATCGCTGATGCGTATATATCGCCGAGATCGCTAACTTCGTGGGAGTGTAATTCCGTAAGTCTTCAATCAAATTTCGTACTTTTGGTGTCATTATCATCGGGAAAAAGACTATCATTTCATAAGAATTTTTTTTTTTTTTTCAAATTTTTTTTCGACACCAGGAGACACTTCAGGATTTGGGGTTGCGACAGTCAAAGGGTTAATACTTCACCCATGATTATAGCAATAATAATACTAATAATAATAAAATAATAAGAAGAATAACAATATTGTTGCAACTGAGAGGGTCACTGAACTGTGATGTCTGTATACTCTGATAAGACAGCTATTGAATAAATAATGGTGAGTGCTCCCTTTTTTCTAGGCCATTGTACACTGGTGGAAGACTGCTGATTTTAATAAAAACAATGACCATTAATTTTCTGAACAATGTCTGTGTGTGTAATGCTATAGTTGTTTTTAATACACTTGATACACTGAGTGGTCACCTGGCAACCATGTCCTATCAAGGTGCTTTATCTGCTTTTCTCTATGAGCTTTATTTTCCTGGGTGACTTTATTCTAGTGAAAAGTTCTTGACACTAGGAATTAGCACTACCCTCTCCTCCCTTGGATCAAACTTGATTACTTTGGATTTGCAAACACTGCATAACCCTTATGGATTTAGTAATCCTCTTGTAAATGAAGTGTAATATCTATGTGAGGTAAGTCAGCAGATATTTAACCAGTGAGCAGAACATTATCTGATTAAGACTTAGATCAGGAGACTTCCTGATGAATAAATCACCACCAGCAAGCCCAGACCCCCCCCCCCCCCCCCCCCACAACACACACACACATCCTCCTCCACTCTATCCTTCCAACCCTTCCTGGGATATCTTCTGTTTCTTCTTCCACTTTGACCACCCTCTCCCAATTTATGTACCCTCTTGGTCAACTAATTCTGCTCTATCCTTTGTCAATAGTCAAATTATCTCAATAACCTTCTACCATCTCCTCTTTGTATTCCAGCTTTCATACCAACACATTGCTTTCTAAACTGTACTCTATGCTCAATAATAACCCACACTGAGACAGAAACTCAGGAGATTAATTGATCTGTATATTTCAACCCCTTTCTGGGATCTTCTTTATCACACTATATTCACTGCATGATATTCATGCCACATCTTACACACTACTTCTCGATGGACCATGCCTCTTGCCTGTGCAAAATGGTTGACACAACTATACTCTGAAACGTGTTACTTTTCTTTTGTATCCACTGATAATTTCTTTCTTTCCACAGACCCCAGATACCTTTCTTGCCACATCTGCTCAATGATTCACCTCATCATCCACAAAGCCATCATTGATGCATGCACTCCCACACACAGTTCAGAATCTACTCACCTGACACACTAGTGACCTGTTTTGAAGCCAGGCGAAATGTTCTTGTTGACTGCCTTGTCACTTCCCACTATCTGACATTCAATCTTTCATTACCTAAACTATTACTTACTCTCATCAACTTGCACTTCCTTACAACCACTTACAACTTTCTTCTTGAACAAACCTTCCTAAACTCCTCCACCAACCTCTGTAACTCTATTCTAAATCTCCAAACAGCACTATCATCCCATTATTTGACATTCAATCTTTCATTATCTAAACTACTACTTACTCTCGTCAGCTTGTTCTTCCCTACAGTCACTTACAACATTCTTCTTTAACAAACCTCCCAAAACTACTCCTCCAACCTCTGCACCTCTATTCTGAACCTCCAAAAAGCACTGTCATCAACAAAGAGGAACTATGAAAACTCCCACTTTATATTATTATCTTTTAAGCTCATGCAATTAATGTGTTTTTCTTTTATAGGTAATGCAATCTATGGGAGAAGCATGAGTGGAGCAACATGATAAGCTTACATGCCCATTAAGATGAAGCGTATTTAACATCGGAGAAATACTAAGAGGATTGAGTAGGAGTTGTGAAGAACAATGCTCAACCACTTTCTCTATAGTTTGTATGTATGTGTTAATTTGTATAAATAAAATAATTAAGTTACTGCATATAGCTTTTACTGACCTCTCTATTTTATTCTTCATATAAGCTCATTACTGCAATGTAGTTTTAAAGTATTACAGTATGTATGTTAGATAGGAGTGAATGAAGACGGATGGTATTTGGGACCTGACGAGCTGTTGGAGTGTGAGCAGGGTAATATTTAGTGAAGAGATTCAGGGAAACTAGTTATTTTTTATAACCGGACTCGAGTCCTGGAAATGGGAAGTACAATGCCTGCACTCTAAAGGAGGGGTTTGGGATATTGGCAGTTTGGAGGGATATAGTACATGTATTGTGTATTTTTATACGTATATACTTCTAAACTGCTGTATTCTGGGCACCTCTACAAAAATGGTGATTATGTGTGAGTGAGGTGAAAGTGTTGAATGATGATGAAAGTATTTTCTTTCTTTTTGGGTTACCCTGCCTTGGTGGGAGATGGCCGACTTGTTGAAAAAAAAAATTTATACAGTGGACCCCCGCATAACGATTACCTCCGAATGCGACCAATTATGTAAGTGTATTTATGAAAGTGCGTTTGTACATGTATGTTTGGGGGTCTGAAATGGACTAATCTACTTCACAATATTTCTTATGGGAACAAATTCGGTCAGTACTGGCACCTGAACATACTTCTGGAGTGAAAAAATATCGTTAACCGGGGGTCCACTGTATAATATTTATATACTTTAACAGTACTGTATAGTACTGTACTGTACAGTACACAGTCCTGTACTATACAGTATACAGTACTTCTAGTGTCTAGTACAGAAATGCCATGTTATGAAGGGTTACAACTAAAAAAAAGGCAGTACTGTACCTGTATTAACACATTAATCATTATAATACTGTGCCATTAAAGGTAACTAATATACCAGGAGCAAGACCCCAGTAGTAATTATAATACAGTGGAACCTCAAATATCGAACTTTCTTCAGTCCAGAAGGCTGTTCAAATGCCTTTACCAAATGAATTTATTCCCATCAGGAATAATGTAAATTAGATTAGTCGATTTCAGACCCTCAATAATACGCTTATAAAAGCACTTTCAAAAATACACTTACATAATTGGTTGTGTTGGGAGTACAGTGGAACCCCGCTTAACGATCACCTCCAAATGCGACCAATTATGTAAGTGTATTTATGTAAGTGCGTTTGTACGTGTATGTTTGGGGGTCTGAAATGGACTAATCTACTTCACAATATTCCTTATGGGAAAAAATTCGGTCAGTACTGGCACCTGAACATACTACTGGAATGAAAAAAGTTCGTTAACCGGGGGTCCACTGTAGTTCGATTTTTGAGGTTCCACTGTAATAACAATGTGTCATAAGAGGTGATTAAAATGCTGGGAGCAAGGGGCTAGTAACCCACATTTACTGTTTAAATAATTAACTGTAAAACAGGAAGAAAATCTTTTGTTTCCTCTTTTTCGAGTCACCTTGCCTCAGTGGGAAATGACCGCTGTGTTAACTGTAATAAGAATAGTGCTGTAGTGTTTAATAATAATTACATAAATACAATACTGTAAATTATCATGCTGGCTACAAATAATAAGAAACAATATTATATAGCTGAACATTACACTGTAATTTTTAAACAAAACTCAAAATTAAGGTTGATGCATGTCTGGTGATACAAAACCAGAGTTGGCATAGTAAGCTCAAACCCATAAAAAGAAGACTAAACCCATGGCTAACTAAAATATTAGCATGCTTAGATCTACTGATAAGTAATATGTAATAGTAACCCCATAGCTGTCTATTCTGCTGTAGCTTCGCCGGAATAATTGCCCGGCCCGGGCCTTTTCCAAGAGGTGGCCTGGCCTTGTCTCCCTGTCAAGGAAGTGTCTCAGACCAATGTCTGCCATGGGAGGAGGTACAAATACCTCCTTGTCTACTGGGACCAGCTGTCCCCAGGCCTAGCCCCATTCCCCACCCTCATGGGGTTTGGAGGGAGAAACTAGGCACTTTGGGCTCACCAACCCCATCCACACTAGGCTCGAAGGGTGTGGCAGCTGCATAGCAACAGATGATGTCAGGAGGTGCAAAGGCAGCAAGCACTACAGGATCTTTTTGGAGTCACACCCCAGCTTTGGGTATTAAGCCCGAGCACTGGGGAAACTCAAGAATGCTTCTTGCTGTGTGTGTTGCTGCTGCTACTACTACACTTGTCCACTGCACTCTCCCATAGTTGCCATAGCTACTGAAGCCACATGGAAATCTTTGACAACCTCTTTGCCCTATTGAAGAGCTGATGCTTGCTACCTTATCTCATTTTTTTAAAAATCCCATCCCAAGTAAGACTGGGAAAACCATCTTATGTGATGAAGTATGAGAGGAAAAATATCCTGTGTGATGAGGTATAGCAGGAACTATCCTGTGTGATGAAATACAGCAGGAACTACTTATCTTGTGTGATGATGTATAGCAGGAACTATCGTATGTCATGAAGAACTATCCTATGTCATGAAGTACAGCAGGAACTATCCTGTGTGATGATGTATAGCAGGAACTATCGTATGTCATGAAGTATAGCAGGAACTATCCTATGTCATGAAGTATAGCAGGAACTATCCTGTGTGATGAAATATAGCAGGAACTACATATCTTGTGTGATGAAATATAGCAGGAACTACATATCTTGCGTGATGAAATTTTAGCAGGAACTACATATCTTGTGTGATGAAATATAGCAGGAACTACATATCTTGCGTGATGAAATATAGCAGGAACTACTATCTTGTGTGATGAAATATAGCAGGAACTACATATCTTGTGTGATGAAATATAGCAGGAACTACATATCTTGTGTGATGAAATATAGCAGGAACTACATATCTTGTGTGATGAAATATAGCAGGAACTACATATCTTGTGTGATGAAATATAGCAGGAACTACATATCTTGTGTGATGAAATATAGCAGGAACTATCCTGTGTGATGAAGTATAGCAGTAACAAAAAAAAAAAAAACATAAGGAAGTGAGAAACAAGCCAAGTCCGAATTTTTTTTTCAAATTATGTCTGGAATCACGATACAGTACTGAGTAAAAAAGTTAAAGATACCCTGACAATGGTTTCTGATCACACTTTAACAAGTCAAAGATTATTCTTGGAATCATTTACAGTTATTCAGGAAAACTTTACAAGTCAATTATTTCTGAGTACTGTCTCATTAAGCTACAATATTTGCACTAAAGAAAAAATAAATAAGTGTGAAATTACAGGTAGGGAGTACTGTACCTATATAGTACTAAACGATATTTATTTTTTTCCTTGGTTACTATTAGCCATATGGTAAGTCTCTTACATTCCAAAATATACTACAGTACATGTATATTAGATATACCATAATCATAATAAAATCAAAATCATTATACAGCCATTAGTCACTATCTAAACTACTGCATATCCATAATTTGTTTTAAGCCATAGGCTTTAAGTCTTAGCAAATCTTGATGAAAAGAAAAAAACCTCTGTGTTACTTAGGCCAAAAAATGTGCTTTGCCAAGCACTCAGGCCATTCAGACCTCACCACCACACTAAGGTAATACAGTGCACCACTGATGGGCAGGGGTTTAGGGATTAGCTTGCCACCACACCAAGGTAATACAATGCACCATGATGGGGAGGGGTTTAGGGATTAGCTTGCCACCACACTAAGGTAATACAGTGCACCACTGATGGGCAGGGGTTTAGGGATTAGCTTGCCACCACACCAAGGTAATACAATGCACCACTGATGGGCAGGGGTTTAGGGATTAGCTTGCCACCACACTAAGGTAATACAAGGCACCACTGATGGGCAGGGGTTTAGGGATTAGCTTGCCACCACACTAAGGTAATACAGTGCACCACTGATGGGCAGGGGTTTAGGGATTAGCTTGCCACCACACTAAGGTAATACAGTGCACCACTGATGGGCAGGGGTTTAGGGATTAGCTCGCCACCACACTAAGGTAATACAGTGCACCACTGATGGGCAGGGGTTTAGGGATTAGCTTGCCACCACACTAAGGTAATACAGTGCACCACTGATGGGCAGGGGTTTAGGGATTAGCTTGCCACCACACCAAGGTAATACAAGGCACCACTGATGGGCAGGGGTTTAGGGATTAGCTTGCCACCACACTAAGGTAATACAGTGCACCACTGATGGGCAGGGGTTTAGGGATTAGCTTGCCACCACACTAAGGTAATACAGTGCACCACTGATGGGCAGGGGTTTAGGGATTAGCTTGCCACCACACCAAGGTAATACAAGGCACCACTGATGGGCAGGGGTTTAGGGATTAGCTCGCCACCACACTAAGGTAATACAGTGCACCACTGATGGGTAGGGGTTTAGGGATTAGCAAAACATTAATATCAAATGGACATTCAGCACCCTGTGCCATAAAGTCTAACATTTAATCACCACAAACAACAGATTAAAACAACAGTGCAGCACCTCAAAGTTCAGTGATAGGGCATTTGATTAATTAACAGTGGCCTCAACTCATACAGTGAGGGACTAGTGTTTGATCCCTGGACAAGTGGAAACGGTGGGCATGTTTCCTCATGCCTTCTGCCCCAGTTCACCTAGCAGTCAGTAGGGAGAGGATTAAAGGACCTCAGTGGAAATAAGCCAGTTAGTCTGATGATATGGCTTTACTGTATTATCCTGTGTTACAATACTAACCCTCAAGGTTAATAATCCAAACAAATAACCCCAGGACTTGAGTCCTGGAGATGGGAAGTACAGTGCCTGCACTCTGAAGGAGGGGTGTTAATGTTGCAGTTTAAAAACTGTAGTGTAAAGCACCCTTCTGGCAAGACAGTGATGGAGTGAATGATGGTGAAAGTTTTTCTTTTTCGGGCCACCCTGCCTTGGTGGGAATCGGCCAGTGTGATAATAAAATAAAAATAAAAACATTAGAAATAGATTTAATTTTGTTTGAACTTTTAATTTGAAGTGTTAGCCACCCAAGATAATGCAATAAAGTCAATGCATCATTGGAGACTGTCTGTCTTATTTCCATGTGGTCTTGAAATCTTTTTCCCCCCCCAGGATATGACCCACAACAGTCAACTAACACCCAGGCACCTAATTACTGCTAGGTTAACAGACACAGCAGGTGTAAGGAAACATGCCCAATGTTGCACCTGTGCTGGGAAGCAATCCCCAGTCCCTTCAGTATGTGTGAGATGGGGATGCTACCAACTGAGCCACAAGCACCTACACATTGGTAAGTCTTTCTATATCTCCCAGGGGACATCAAGGCAAGTACAAATTGGAAGGGTGGCTGTCTCGTGCACAGCCACCCTTCTATCTTGCGCTGAATAACCCACAGGGGTTTAGCACCTTCTGTCCCTGTTCAACTAGCAGCATACAGATACCTAAAAGCTAGTTAACTGTTATGAGTTGCATCATAAGGGAGGGCTTAAGGACTCTAACAGGAATAAACCACACTGCTCAATTTATTGTACTTCTACTAATAAAATACAATTACTGAACCATACCTTAAAAACAATAAAGCCAATCATACAAGATTAAAAACGTCATAATGTGACCCACACCAAAACAATGGTCTAAAACATCACCAAGGCCACCACAGACCTCCTAGTAATTAAAAAAAACTTATATCTTATTCAGCATTATTATTTATTTGAATCAGAGAGAAGCAATAAACAAGGTGGAGGTCATACAGTGCCTGAAGAATGAGAGGCACACAGATACAATCCAAGAAAAAGAACAATAAGTACAGTTTCTTGGATCAAGAGCTTATCACTAACATCAAGGCCTTGAGGGGTATTCAGTATGATCGAAGCTTAAGGCATCTTATTAAAAAGGGGATCACTGTCAATGGCACACTGAAAGCTGCACAGAGAGGAGCAGGATTCCTTGCAAGTGTCTATGGGTAAGGTGAGTGTGCTATATCCTCAATCTGCAGAGAAATTCTCATAGTAATAATTCCTGAAGAGGATCAAATGCTCATTTCCTGTCAAACCTTGTAAAGCTTTTGCTTGTTGGTAGGGCCCTAAATGTCACTTACTAATATGTTATAATAGTTTAACCCTTTGACTGTCGCAACCCCCAATCCTGAGGTGTCTCCTGGTGTCGCAAAATTTAAAAAAAAAAAAAAAAAAATTTTATGAAATGATAAGAGAATCTTTTCCCGATTGTAAAGACACCAAAAAAACGAAATATGATGGAAAACTGATGGAATTACGCTCTCGCGAAGTTAGCGACCTCAGCGATATTTACAAATCGGCGATTTCGCCCACTTTGAGCCCTACTTTCGGCTAATTCCATTATTCCAGTCAACCAAACTCATAGCTATTTCTTCAGAACTCTATTTTTGCCATCGGTTGAGTACAAGAAACTGCCCATTTACCGGTTTCAACTACCCAATAACATGGTCAGAAATTTGCAATTTGGCCAATTTCACGAAAATTAAAAAATATGACAATTTCAAAATAAGGACCAGAATGAACAATGCAGACATTCCTGGCTCTAAAATAACATTTTCTTTGTTCATCAGTCATGTCTCCAGGCCCCTGTGATATTACTCTTGCTTATTAAATATTTTGAAATTTTATTCAAACAAAAAATAGAAGATTTACTGTTATGCAGACTACTGCAATACTGTAATAATTGTAAAAATTACATCAACCCATTCATGACTGCATATTAGAATGGCTATTTGGACATTTATTGGACAATGACATCATTTGTTTACTTTTGAACATCGGCAAAAATCAAACATTTCCCATACTTTGTGCTCCATTTCCAGGTTCTTTTTATAGTAAAATTATCAAAATCGCCTCTATTTCTATAATATAGTTTCCATTCTATCAAATGAGACCAAGAAAACGAGAATACAACCACAAATACTATACGAAAATAGACCACAAAGTTGGCATTTTAATTAAAAAAAACGGTCGGAGTTTTTTTTTTCTCATTATGCACTGCGTGCTCCAGGATTTTTTTTATATGGTGCACACTGACCACACAGACCCATTCTCTCACATGTGGGCCAACCAGCTTTCTCCTGCCTGATTTGAAGCCACTAGAATTTATGAGTATATATACGTCAAACACGGTACCTCGTAAACGTATATATATATACGGACGCGACAGTCAAAGGGTTAATTTGGAATTCATAACTACTCCTTGACTAATGGGCTGCATCATGGATGTGTAGTGGGTGATATCTATGTTGCAATGACAGCCATTATTATTTATATTACGTTTATAAAGAAAGGCGGCTAAGGTTTATGACCACTACTCGACAGAACTTGGGCATTAATTTACATTTTACAATATACAGAATAAGAATTGTGCAAATTATTCCGGGAGATTACTACTGTAATAATAATAATTTGATTTCAGCATGATACAAAGTTTGGACAGAGCTGGGAAACATTTAGTTGTGCATGCAGAAAGCCCGTAGTTATTCAGAGCAGTTCGGGCAAAAGTAGTAATATTACTTATGGTTGTGAAGCACTTTCGAGTCAACTGGTGGTTAATACTATTGAGTTACATCATGCACCTAGCCCAATGTTAACAAATAGCTGCCAGTACTGACAGCAGGGGTAAGGTTAGGTTATTTTAGATTGAGTTAAGAGTGTTTCATTAAGTTAGATTATTTTTTTAATGCATTTGCAGAACAAAATGTCTCAACTATAAAGCCAAATTAATATTGTACAGTTCAAACTATAATTACCTGCTTAAATCTGTCGAGTAGCGGTTGTATATTTGTACCAGAAAGGCTGTGAGAATTGTGTAAGTAGATGAACATCATGGTGGTCTGTTAAGTTTCAATTTAATCCACTGCACCAGGTCATTATTGCCACATTTTACCTGTAAACAACCAATCAGAGGTGAAAGCAAACCCCCAGTGTATATGAGACAGAGACAGAGACATACATATACATATGTACATACATTGTGAGGCGTGGTCATGGACTGGGCTACAGGGACGTTGACCCCCAGAACACTCCAGGTATACATAACGTAATTTACACACAGCATATCAATACTTACAAACAATCATTAGGGTGCATGCATAATGATATACAGTGGACCCCGATAACACATACCTCCATATGCACCAATTATGGTAGTGATTTATAAAGTGCGTTTGTATATAAGTTTTCTGAAATGACTAATTACAACTATCATATTCACTTAGGAACAATTTCAGTACTCGCACCTATACGATACTTCCATGGATAATATTAAGGGGTCATATATAGATGTTGTATTTGGTGAATGGATATTATATATATTATTTATATAAATATATATGGATGTATATATTAATAAAAATATTAAGTATATATATATATATATATTATATATATATTATATATATATTATATATTTATAATATTATATATAATATATATATATTTATATATATATATTATATTATATATATATATTTATATATATATATTATATATATTATATATATATATATTATATATTTATATTATTATATATATATATATATATTAATATATATATATATATATATATATTATAATATATATATATATAATATATATATATTTATATATATATATATATTATATAATATTTATATATTATATATTATATTATATAATATATATATATATAATATATATATAATATATAATAATATATAATATTATATTATATTTTCTTATTAACACACTGGCTGATTCCCACCAAGGCAGGGTGGCCCAAAAAAGAAAAACTTTCACCATCATTCACTCCATCACTGTCTTGCCAGAAGGGTGCTTTACACTACAGTTTTTAAACTGCAACATGAATGGAGACAAGTGGTTTTTAATACTTCACGTGCTGTTGGAGTGTGAGCAAAGTAACATTTATGAAGGGGTTCAGGGAAACCGGCAGGCTGGACTTGAGTCCTGGAGATGGGAAGTACAGTGCCTGCACTCTGAAGGAGGGGTGTTAATGTTGCAGTTTAAAAACTGTAGTGTAAAGCACCCTTCTGGCAAGACAGTGATGGAGTGAATGATGGTGGTGAAAGTTTTTCTTTTTCGGGCCACCCTGCCTTGGTGGGAATCGGCCAGTGTGGTAATAAAAAAAAATATATATATATATATATATATATATATATATATATATATATATATATATATATATATATATATATATATATATATATATATATATATATATATATATATATATATATATATATATATATTATTACTATTATTATTATTATTTTTTTATTATCACACTGGCCGATTCCCACCAAGGCAGGGTGGCCCGAAAAAGAAAAACTTTCACCATCATTCACTCCATCACTGTCTAGCCAGAAGGGTGCTTTACACTACAGTTTTTAAACTGCAACACTAACACCCCTCCTTCAGAGTGCAGGCACTGTACTTTCCATCTCCAGGACTCAAGTCCGGCCTGCCGGTTTCCCTGAATCCCTTCATAAATGTTACTTTGCTCACACTCCAACAGCACGTCAAGTATTAAAAACCATTTGTCTCCATTCACTCCTATCAAACACGCTCACACATGCCTGCTGGAAGTCCAAGCCCCTCGCACACAAAACCTCCTTTACCCCCTCCCTCCAACCTTTCCTAGGCCGACCCCTACCCCACCTTCCTTCCACTACAGACTGATACACTCTTGAAGTCACTCTGTTTCGCTCCATTCTCTCTACATGTCCGAACCACCTCAACAACTCTTCCTCAGCCCTCTGGACAACAGTTTTGGTAATCCCGCACCTCCTCCTAACTTCCAAACTACGAATTATCTGCATTATATTCACACCACACATTGCCCTCAGACATGACATCTCCACTGCCTCCAGCCTTCTCCTCGCTGCAACATTCATCACCAATGCTTCACACCCATATAAGAGCGTTGGTGAAACTATACTCTCATACATTCCCCTCTTTGCCTCCAAGGACAAAGTTCTGTGTCTCCACAGACTCCTAAGTGCACCACTCACCCTTTTCCCCTCATCAATTCTATGATTCACCTTATCTTTCATAGACCCATCCACTGACACGTCCACTCCCAAATATTTCAATACATTCAACTCCTCCATACTCTCTCCTTCCAATCTGATATCCAATCTTTCATCACCTAATCTTTTTGTTATCCTCATTACCTTACTCTTTCCAGTATTCACTTTTAATTTTCTTCTTTTACACACCCTACCAAATTCATCCACCAATCACTGCAGCTTCTCTTCAGAATCTCCCAAGAGCACAGTGTCATCAGCAAAGAGCAACTGTGACAACTCCCACTTTATGTGTGATTCTTTATCTTTTAACTCCACGCCTCTTGCCAAGACCCTCGCATTTACTTCTCTTACAACCCCATCTATAAATATATTAAACAACCAAGGTGACATCACACATCCTTGTCTAAGGCCTACTTTTACTGGGAAATAATTTCCCTCTTTCCTACATACTCTAACTTGAGCCTCACTATCCTCGTAAAAACTCTTCACTGCTTTCAGTAACCTACCTCCCACACCATACACCTGCAACATCTGCCACATTGCCCCCTATCCACCCTGTCATATGCCTTTTCCAAATCCATAAATGCCACAAAGACCTCTTTAGCCTTATCTAAATACTGTTCACTTATATGTTTCACTGTAAACACCTGGTCCACACACCCCCTACCTTTCCTAAAGCCTCCTTGTTCATCTGCTATCCTATTCTCCGTCTTACTCTTAATTCTTTCAATAATAACTCTACCATACACTTTACCAGGTATACTCAACAGACTTATCCCCCTATAATTTTTGCACTCTCTTTTGTCCCCTTTGCCTTTATACAAAGGAACTATGCATGCTCTCTGCCAATCCCTAGGTACCTTACCCTCTTCCATACATTTATTAAATAATTGCACCAACCACTCCAAAACTATATCCCCACCTGCTTTTAACATTTCTATCTTTATCCCATCAATCCCGGCTGCCTTACCCCCTTTCATTTTACCTACTGCCTCACGAACTTCCCCCACACTCACACTGGCTCTTCCTCACTCCTACAAGATGTTGTTCCTCCTTGCCCTATACACGAAATCACAGCTTCCCTATCTTCATCAACATTTAACAATTCCTCAAAATATTCCCTCCATCTTCCCAATACCTCTAACTCTCCATTTAATAACTCTCCTCTCCTATTTTTAACTGACAAATCCATTTGTTCTCTAGGCTTCCTTAACTTTTTTATCTCACTCCAAAACTTTTTATTATTTTCAACAAAATTTGCTGATAACATCTCACCCACTCTCTCATTTGCTCTCTTTTTACATTGCTTCACCACTCTCTTAACCTCTCTCTTTTTCTCCATATACTCTTCCCTCCTTGCATCATTTCTACTTTGTAAAAACTTCTCATATGCTAACTTTTTCTCCCTTACTACTCTCTTTACATCATCATTCCATCAATCGCTCCTCTTCCCTCCCGCACCCACTTTCCTGTAACCACAAACTTCTGCTGTACACTCTAACACTACATTTTTAAACCTACCCCATACCTCTTCGACCCCATTGCCTATGCTCTCATTAGCCCATCTATCCTCCAATAGCTGTTTATATCTAACCCTAACTGCCTCCTCTTTTAGTTTATAAACCTTCACCTCTCTCTTCCCTGATGCTTCTATTCTCCTTGTATCCCATCTACCTTTTACTCTCAGTGTAGCTACAACTAGAAAGTGATCTGATATATCTGTGGCCCCTCTATAAACATGTACATCCTGAAGTCTACTCAACAGTCTTTTATCTACCAATACATTATTCAACAAACTACTATCATTTTGCCCTACATCATATCTTGTATACTTATTTATCCTCTTTTTCTTAAAATATGTATTACCTATACAAAGTTCAATCAATGGGCTCCCATTTTCATTTACACCTGGCACCCCAAACTTACCTACCACACCCTCTCTAAAAGTTTCTCCTACTTTAGCATTCAGGTCCCCTACCACAATTACTCTCTCACTTGGTTCAAAGGCTCCTATACATTCACTTAACATCTCCCAAAATCTCTCTCTCTCCTCTACATTCCTCTCTTCTCCAGGTGCATACACGCTTATTATGACCCACTTTTTGCATCCAACCTTTACTTTAATCCACATAATTCTTGAATTTACACATTCATATTCTCTTTTCTCCTGCCATAACTGATCCTTCAATATTACTGCTACCCCTTCCTTTGCTCTAACTCTTTCAGATACTCCAGATTTAATCCCATTTATTTCCCCCCACCGAAACTCCCCTACCCCCTTCAGCTTTGTTTCGCTTAGGGCCAGGACATCCAACTTCTTTTCATTCATAACATCAGCAATCATCTGTTTCTTGTCATCCGCACTACATCCACGCACATTCAAGCATCCCATTTTATAAAGTTTTTCTTCTTCTCTTTTTTAGCAAATATCTACAGGAGAAGGGGTTACTAGCCCATTGCTCCCGGCATTTTAGTCGCCTCATACAACACGCATGGCTTACGGAGGAAAGATTCTTTTCCACTTCCCCATGGACAATAGAAGAAATAAAGAAGAACAAGAGCTATTTAGAAAAAGGAGAAAAACCTAGATGTATGTATATATATATGTATGTGCGTGTCTGTGAAGTGTGACCAAAGTGTAAGTAGGAGTAGCAAGATATCCCTGTTTATATATATATATATATATATATATATATATATATATATATATATATATATATACATATATATATCCTAGGTAGTAGGTTGGTAAACAGCAACCGCCCAGGGAGGTACTACCGTCCTGCCAAGTGAGTGTACAACGAAAACCTGTAATTGTTTTACATGATGGTAGGATTACTGGTGTCTTTTGTCTGTCTCATAAACATGCAAGATTTCAGGT